AGACTGAAGAACAAAACGACAGCAACTTGTCTGTTCCCCTTCCCCCAATTCCCCAGCACTGTTCCCATCCCCCAACTCCCCAATAAAAAAAAATCCTTTTTCTCTTTTAATTTGTCTACGTGTGTAGTCATACTACATACCAGCGGGTAGCAATCAAAATGATAAATGATCTATAGCTAACAACAAGAACATGGATGAATCACAAAAACGTAACGTTGAGGAGCAAGAGCAAGTAACAGAAGACTTACAATATGAGCCCACGCATATAAAGTTCAAATATATGAAAAAGCTAAACAAATAGTCAGGAGTATAAACAAATGTGAGTAAAAAAAAAAAGCACACCACTACATAGCTACATAGCCACCAGAACAACTCAAATCGAAGACCGACAATACCAAATTTGCACCAGATATGGAGCCACTGGAACGCTCTGATTTTGTCGGTGGAAGTGTAAAATGATACGACCACTTGTAGAAAGGTCTGGTGGTTCCTTGTAACTGAACATACACCTACCCTATGACCCAACCATTCCACTTCTGGGTATTTATCTAAGAAAACAAAAATATATGTCCATAACACGACTTGTACAAAAACGTTAATGACAGCTTTATTCATTACAACCCCAAACTGGGAACAGCCCAAAAGTCCAGCAATAAAAGAAAGGATGAACAAACTGTGGTACAGTCCTATAATGGAATACTACACAGCAATAAAAGGGGGTGGGCTATGGTGCCCCAAATGTGTGGATGAATCTCAAAACCATTATGCTGAGTGAGAGCAGCTGGACAGAAAAGACTACATACATACTGTATGTTTCCATTTACGTGAAGTCGTAAAACAGACAAAACCAGTAGAAAAAAAATATTGGAAGAGGGCTTGCCTCTGCAGTGGGTGGGTTCACGGACCGAAGACCAAGGGTCATGAGGGCACTTTCTGGCATGATGGTAACATTCCGTACGTCTTGAGAGGGGTTCAGGTTGCCGGGGTGTGGGCATTTATTGAGACTCACAATGATGGCTTGTGCATTTCACTGAATGTAAATTACACCCCAAAACCAAGAAGTCCTAGGCAAATATTGGTCGTTAGCTAGTGATATGTATACTGAAGCATTTAGAGCAGCCGTTCTCAACCTTCCTAATGCCGCGACCCTTTAATACGGTTCCGCATGTTGTGGTGACCCCCAACCATAAAATGATTTTCGTTGCTACTCTATAACTGTAATTTT